CTATCGCAGTCCAATTTCCTTTACCATGTCCTTAGGTCTCCTACACCATTCATTTTTTGTGCCCTTTAGATTTTAGTGCCCTTTAGATTTTAGTTCTCTGAGACAAAGCTTCGATTTCTCCACCCTACTTTTGACTCTGACCTGGACTACCTTTCCTCACCTCACACCTCTCAATCAGATTAATTGCTGATCCCCCAGACTGGGTTATGTTCTCCTCTTCAGAGTTCCCATGACACCCTGAGTATCCCTACCCCACAACTCCCTCAGCAATAATTACATTGGATAGCAGCGTTTCTCAGTGTGGCCTTCAGACCACATGTTATAATTATTTTTAGTATTTGTTAAAATAATTGATTCCTAGATCCCACCCCTGATCTCCTTAATTAGAATATCTGGACACATGAGTGGAATTTTACATTTTTACAAGCTCCCCGAGTAATTCTGATGCACAGAAAAGTTTGACGTAAGAGAATCATCTTCCCTACTAGACTGTGAATACCTTGAGGGCAGGGACTGTGTCTTTTGTTTTTCTTGTATTTTTAACACCTGACACAGTGTGTGGAACAGAGTAGTTGGGTAGGCAATGTTTATTGAACAAAAGTATAAGTGAATGAATGAGTGAATGAATGATCAAATTTCCCTGTTGTACTCTGATATCTATATTGGTGTTTATTATTTCCTGGACAGAAAAGCTTGATTACTTCTCCATTTGGGCTATATTGATATTATTTTGCAGATGTCTCTGGACTCATATACATAAATGAGTTTTGTCCTCAAAAGCTCTTTGGAAGTATACTTGGGGAATTACGTGGAACATGTGGCACCCTTTTTTTCAATAACTTTTCAATGTTTTTCAACTTCGTTCTTTGAAAGTGGATTTAACTTTTGGTTATAACCAAAAATCACTGAGCTAAGCCTACTGAATAAAGTAGGAAATGAAACTGGATTTGGGGTAAGCAATGAAGTTTCTGAGTCAAATAATGGAAAATGCTTTCCAAGAAACAACATGGTGGAAAGTACTCGGTGGGGGTATGGTGAATCCCACATACTTCAGTTAACTTAATACTCTCATAGGGTACTGGTAATGCCAGAGACCTAAAGAGGAGCATTGACTACCTTTAGCTAAACCCAGTAGGACAAAGGGACTAGGACCTTTAACATCTTCCAGGAAGGTAACTCCATAAGTGTTCATTATTGTTGCTTTACTCAATATTCTCCTACAATCCTTTCTGCTAACAAATTGTTCTCTGTCTGCAATTTATGCTTATTTACACTTTTTATACTGTCTTATTGAAGAAAGCACAAAAATAATCGAAAATAAAGTTAAATCTGTTTTGAGAATATGAAAGAAATTTTAATGCCACATTGGAATTCTGGCTACTTGTAAGTAAGAGTAACTGCATCTGTATGTGTTTTTATCATCTAATTCTATTGTGTAACTTCGGATGCAGTGTCATTCAGATTGCTGCAAAATCATTTACACATTTTCAGCTAAAATACAGTAGGTGAATTTTCTAAACTTCCATGGTTTACATATTTATATATGACTACCTGGATGGAGCAATCCATGGATGGACTTTTTGATATGCTCAAATATTTGATACCCTTTTCTCTACAGAATGGAGAATTTGAGGCTGACAGATAAAAACCACTCCCACACTAATTTAAATTTCTGAAGCCAATTGTAGCCTTGGAGCCATTGGGCTGCATTTGCCTATGTATTACAGGTTGATCAGGTCGATTGCCATCAAGTCAGGTAAAACTTCCTTTTATGGTCTGATCTGCCAGCTTAGATATATGCTGTGTTGTTCGCTGGAATATTTATTAGACTATTGTTGAACTATTTTTTATCAAATATTTTAACCCAGGCTTGTTTGTACTGGGAGCTCTGGACCAATAGTGTCTCTCCTACTAACAGAACTTTGAGCATCTGTGGATTACACAGCCTCATCCCTCTAAAACATCCCAGCACACCTAAAATGCTATATTATGAATTAAATAAATATATATGTATTAATGAGTTCTTGATTATCTCTCACTGGAGTGTAAATTGGGGGAAATTAAAAGGAATACAACCATGAGTTACTGGAATTGTCTTAATGATTTGAAGGGAATTAATTATAACAGGTAGAGATTTGGGCAGAGAAGGTCCAGGGCTTACGGAAATTGAGATCCAATCCTGAAGACTTTGGTTTCAGGAGCAGGATACAGTCAGAAAGATTTTTTAAAAATGAAGGTATAGGGCCCAAGTAAACATGACACAGTTTCAGGAGTTGGGGGCAGAAGATGGGAATTAAGGAACAACAAAGAAAATCCCAGTGCTGGAACCTATTAAGTTCAGGGTAAGGCCAGAAGCGAGTTAACTTGCTGTTCAACTCCTGGCCTGTAGGAGATGCCTTGGAGGGTTAAGAGATCCCTCAGAGCTGGGCTTGGGCATACTTTAATCAGAGTTGTGGTTGCACTGAGACTAAAGGGGGCATACAATGTGAAGTGAAGCAGGCCAGTCAAGGATGGCAGCTAGAGAAGTGACTTGAAACAGGTTGTCAGACCAAGAGCCTGGAACTAAAGCCCCAAAACAAGAAGATTACAATATAAAGGAGAAAAGAATTTGGAATATCAAGGTTGGTAGTCTAACTGGAGAGAAACCTGGGGAAAAACTGGATATGGGGCTATTACCCACAGCTAAGTTTTTATGTTTGTTTTGATGTGCTTTTTGGAAAGCTTGGCTCCATTTAACATGCCAGACCAGAGCAGACATAGAGTCCTTTATGTTTTACCTAGGAATAGGGTTGGTTCTAGAGTCTCAGTGAAACTTATCCTGTAGGTGAGGACGAGATGGTCTGTTATAAATTTTAGGAGTAACAGAGGCCAAGTAGGTTGTTACACGGATATTGCACTGTATATATCATAATAGCTAATGAGGATGACTCTCTTACACTGAATTTCCAGGGGTGGGGGATCAAAGTGGTCTTCCTATAACTATTGGGACACTATACAAATCACAGTTGTGACTGGTCTGACCTGGCCATTCAAGAGGTATTTATTAATTACTCATTATGTTCCTAGTACTGCTCTCATTTCTGTGGGGATATATTAAGATGAAAAAGTATTCCTAACATTTATAACTAGTGGATGCCCAATTCAATAATTCTTCCTAAATAATTTTTGATCTATTAGTGGTAGCTGATATTGGAAGCTTTTACTGGAGACATAGGGATGAGAATGGAAGCTCTTACCAGACTTGTACATAAGAGATTCTTTGCAAGTGCTGGTAGAATAGAATTAGAACCTAAAAGCAGAACAACAAGTGGGCTACCTCGTACATTGTGAGGTTTGTCTTAGGTTAACTCCATACCACCACTCCAGTACTACCCCTCAGACACATATCCCTGGTCCGAAATTCCCACAACTATCCCTCAGTAACAGGCTTTTGTTCTTTAAGGCCGGTCTCCTTCAAAGGCAATAATTAGAAGAATAAATTAGTTATCAGTACCTCTAGTAGCTTTCGTTTTATTATTAATTTTTGGCCCTTGTCTTTTCAATCTTCTTGTTAAATTTATACTTTCTGGGCTACAGCAATTCCACACAAAGACAGTGGCCATGCAAGGCTTCTGACCACTTCCAAATACTGAAACAACCCCATGTTGTCTGCCTCTAGGGCCCTTAGAACAGGCTTCCAGAGATATTTATTCCCTACAGGCAGGAACTACAACCTTATTTTGGCTTTGAAGAAGTTTCAGAAGACAGACTTTTGTCCCTCAACATCTCTTTAAGAATAAGAGAATACAATCTCTGAGGGGAGAATACTATAGGAAAGAAGCATGAGAACTGCACAGATTGACTAAATATTAAATCAAGTAGAATTCATAGCCTCTTATGTGCCATTAGACTCGGAACCTGGTTGATCAGCCACGTAGCCAGACCAGAGGAATCTACAGATCAAAGGAAAATTCCTGTAGAGATTACTAACAGTAGTTTACCCATACCTTTAATGCTTACCCATACCATAAAAGGAAAACAGAAAAGCAAAGACTTTAAGCTGTACCTTGTACAAGTTAAAGATAAACCCAACCGTTCATTCCATTCTTTACTTCCTATAATCAGTAATTCTACACAGAAACTAAAAAAAACATATATAAACCCAGCTCTTTAGACACTCTGTTTCATTCTCTGAGAGGAGACAACACTCTGTCTATGAAGTGTTATTCCTTCTGTAATAAACTTTTCTTTGGCTTGCTCTTGAATTCTTTCCTGTGTAAAGCCAGGGACCCTCTTTTGGCGTAGGGCTTGAGTCCCCACTGGTGGGGGTAAATTTGTCCATCCTGCATCAAAACCTCCAAAACTGCACCCCCTACATGGCAGAGGAGAGGAACTTGGCATAGCCACTAGTCCAAGTTATCATTCAATCACTCATTTATCCATTCCTTCAACAAGTAATTTATTGATTTCCTTTTGTGTCAGGTGCTGGAGTTCAGTGATGACTGAAACACATACTCTCAGCGCTCATGAGATTCATAATCTAGAGGGGAGACAGACTATCAAAAAATGAACATCTTTGTAATAAGAGGAGCTATCATTGCTTGATTGTTTACACTTTCCCTGACACTATTCTAAGTACTTGAGATATAGTAACCAATCCTCCCAGCAACCCTATAAGGTAAAGACTATTATTGGCTCCATAGGACGTGAGTTCATCCTTGTGCTCTGGCCGAGGCCAGCGGATTCTGTGATTCTGTGGTACCTGGTGAGCTGTTAGCAAGGGTTTTGGCCATGGCTGCCTTTGGCACAGGATAAATGAGTTTAAGGCCAGCATTGAGGAAATGACCCAGCCCATTGGCTCCTGGATTTGGGGAAGACCAGGCAGGTTTCCCAAGACTCTACTAGGCACTCTCAAAACCTCCCCGGCCAAGGTTTTCCCACACTCTTTTTTTCCTCCTCTTTCTTTCCCCTCCCCCCTAATGCCCCTCCCTCCTTTCCATGCCGGTCCCTCCCTCAGAGCCGCCTCCTCTCTGAGTCATTTCCCCTTCCCCGCCCTAAAGACCTTGGCTTTCTCTATGAATCCCTTCCCTCTGGCAGGAAGCAGAGGAAGGAAAAACTGGCTTTGAGAACAAGGTGAGCGCTTTGCCCAGCGAAGATGAGCAACGCGTCCCGCCCTCGCCTCTCCATTCGGAGGGACAGGAAATCGAAAGAGTTCCCTCCCGCAGAGCGGCTGTGTTCCTTATCGTCTGAAGTCCCGGTGGCCAAGCGTGGGAGGTGCCACACCCCGCCCGGTGTCTCCTGGGATGTGAGGAGGAAAGTGGCAGCCCGGTAAGACTGGCCTGCGGGGCTGCAGCGAGCTCAGGAGGGGTGAGCTCAGCGCGGCACCTGGGAGCGACTTCGCTGCCCGCGAAGCTGCAGAGCGGAGGAGGGCCAGGCTCCGCCGGGCCTAGAAGCCAGCCCTAGAGAAAGGAGAGGGACGAGGGGGAGGGGAGAGTCTACCCGGGATGTGCGTGTGGAGGGGCATAGAGG